TATATATATATAATGTATATATCATGTTGTCACATAATATATACATATTGTCAAGCACAGTGATGATATGCAAGTTTCGGTTACTTCTTAACCCTTGTCCTGCTGTGCGCAACATATGTCGCGCGGCACATACAGTACCATCTATATAACACCCTGTATAGATACGATTTGGGGGTATTTCTCGTGCAACGCATTACACCGCAGCGAAACGCAACGAATGCAGAAGTAACTATGCCACTGCAGGGCAAAAAAATTGGGAGGCTATGATCTAATTAAAACATGAAATTATTGAAAAATATTGTACCAGGAATGCCAGCAGGACAATGGTCCCAAACGTTTGCCCCCCTCCCCTCATCATGGTTCATGACTGCGTTTTCTGATCTATATACTATTAGCCTCTTTTATTTATCCAACGAGTACATCTGTTGTTCTATCTATAAACTTGGCCAGTTTCAGGCAACAACTACCTGTTCTGATTCGTCCTGCAGCTAGGTGTCGATGCTGCAATATTACAAAGGCGGTACCAAACGTAGAGCGTTGTCACATAATATACACATTGTAAAGCACAGTAATAGTAAACAGTCAAGTTTTCAGTTTCTTCTTAAGAATGTTGTCCCAAAGGTGCCCCACTCGTCACGGTTCATAACTGGATGGATTTTGTGATCCATACAGCCTCTCTTATCCACCGAATGCATCTGCTGTTCTATCTATAACCTTAGCCGCGCCCCTCTCTATTATGCAATTGTTTCTTGTGATGTGGTTTGCCACTGCTGACGTTTTTAAGTTCTCTCCTTTTCGGAGCTTCCTTCTTTTGTGTTCTTGTGAACCTTCCCACTTTCTCCCTGTCTCTCCTATGTACACCTTGTTGCAACTCATGCAAGGTATCTTGTATATGCTTCTCATTGTGGTCTTGGGGCTTGTTAAACTTTCTTAAAGTCCAGTCCTGGTAGTCCGTCCTGCAACTTTGATCTGAAAGAGATAATGTCTGGGGGTGGGGGAGTGGGGGGTGGGGAGGCTGCACATACAAGATAACAAGATGCAAGGTATCTTGTATATGCTTCTCATGTGGTCTTGGGCTTGTTAAACTTTCTTAAATGTCCAGTCCTGGTAGTCAGTCCTGCTACCTTGATCTGAAAGAGATAGTTTCTCCTGGAAAAAAGGCTTCATATACAAGATAACTTGCATGGGATGACTCATGCAAGGTATCTTGTATATGCTTCTCCCTTCGGTCTTTGGCTTGAGCTTGGCTGTGGCTTTGTTGTGTTTCTTGAAAAGTCTCTTCGGTGGACCTATGATGCCTGCAATGTAAGGTATATTCACAGTTCCTCTTGCTTTCTTCTATTGTTTCTTCGTGACCTCTTCTGCTTTGGGTTTCTTGTTTCTTCTGTTGTTAAACTTCACTGAATGTCTAGTCCGAGTAGTCAGCCCTGCAACTCTGATCTAAAAGAGATTTCTCAGGAAAAAGGGCTGATCTGAAAGAGAATTTCTAAGGAAAAAAAAGCTGCATATACAAGATAGCTTGCATGGTGTACATAGGAGAGACAGGAAGAACATTTGGATGCAGACTAGAGGGACATAGGAAAGTCGCGGGTAGTGTCAAAGTGGGAAGGTTCTTAAGAGCAAGAACTTATTAATAAACAAATCAGCAGTGGCAGACCACATCACAAGAAACAATTGCATAATAGGCTGGGGCGGGGCTAAGGTTATAGATAGGACACAACACAGGCATTCGTTGGATAAAAGAGGCTGTATGGATACGAAGTTATGAACCGTAACGAGGGGGACACCTTTGGTACAACATTCTTAAATTAAGAAGTAACTAAAAACTTGACTGTTTACTATTATTGTGCTTGGCAATATGTATGTATTATGTGACAACGCTCTACGTTTGGTACCGCCTTTGTAATATTGCAGCAGCGACACCTAGCAGCAGTACGAATCAGAACAAGTAATTGTTGCCTGAACCTGGCTAAGTTTATAGATAAAACAACAGATGCACTTGTTGGATACAGGAGGCTATATGGATCAGGAAATGCAGTCATGAACCGTGATGAGGGGAGGGGGGCAAAGACTCAGTCACGTTTGGGACCGCATTCTTAAGAAGTAACTGAAACTTGCATATCATCACTGTGCCTGACAATGTGTATATATGTATTATGTAACAACATTTTACTCTTGTCTGTAACACTGCAGCAGGTACATCTAGCTGCAGTATGAATCAGAAGCACTCATTGCTGACCCGAAGAAGGTGACGGACCGTTATCGAAGCCGTTGGTTGTTGAAGAAAGAACCCTCTTATACGGCATTTATCCTGTGTATCCAAAACAGGAACATTGGTCGAATAAGACATCATCCTATATTTACAGCTCTCATTCAGGAGTGATTTTAGCAGACCCCTGGAAATAAAACACAACAGTTATAATATATAAAATGACAAACGAAAAACATCTGAAATCTTTTATTTCTTAAAAGCCAATTTTGATCTCTAAAGCAGATCATGGTAGAAGAAAAATATGCTAGTATAAAGGTCGATTTGAGAATAGTCTTTCAGATCAAATCTTGAACATGTTTCTAAGACCCAAGTTATACAATATCAGAAATATTTGCCATTTCACCCTCTTCCTTTTGTGTGATATGAACTTAAATCTTGAATATTTTTCTAATACCAAAATTATACAATATCATGAATATTTGTAATCTTACCCTCTTCTTTGTTATGATATGAAGTCAAATCTTGAACATTTTTCTAAGGCCAAAGTTATATAATATCAGGTATATTCGTACACTTACCCTCTTGGTTTTGTAGGATACGAAGTACCAGAGTACGGCGGCGATGATGATGATACCCAGGATGCCACAAGTCACCCCCAGGCCAATGGCGACGCCGATGTTGCTGTCGGAAGCAGCAGGCCTCACAGCTGGAGGGGGGGGGGGGGTAGGTGGGGAGGGGGGTAGAGTTAGAGTGTGTGAGCTCAGATGCCAGAGTTATTATAGTCTACAAATCCTTAAGGATGTATCCAACATATCTATGTATAGCAAGCGAACCACTACCTTACAGGAGAGCGAAATTGCATCAAAACGACAATCTCTCGGAGTATTTTTCAAGATTCAACCGAATTTATCGCAGAAAATACATTAAGGGGGGGGGGGTACATTCTGTTAGCTCAGATGAGTTATAACGGTCAGACACACAAACTCAAATATATACCCAACATGTCTACATGTATGTGTAACAAGCTGCGCAATGCTTGACTGGAAAGTGAACTTGAAAAAGACTATCTGCCAATCAGGATATTTTGCCAGACATACGACAAATTCATAGGAGAACGTCTGCGCACAGTAGAACTTACTTATTGGTCGATTGATCTATAATTGATATACTGATGATCTGTAAATTGAAAATTTAGCTCATCAATTCATTGATTGATCTATTGGTTGATAGCACCCACCTTCACACACCGATCCCGCCTTGGTACCCGTAAGAGAGGCGTCCGTGTAGCCAGTGTTACAGGTACAGGTGTAGGAACCCTCCGTGTTGGTACAGGTGGCCTGCATGTGGCAGTTGTTCGCACCTGCACTGGCACACTCGTCCACATCTGCGGAATGGGATAACGTATACAATTAGCATACCAAATACAGACAATAGAATACTAGAAGTACAGTAGTTGGTACAGACTGCTGACATAATAAATGTCGCTAGACGGCGCGACACCACCATGCAACAGTTTACCATAATGCTAAACTAAACTTCTGTATCTGTATCTGTGTCTGTATTGATACAGCCAGTATACAACTACCCTTTTGTATAACACTGAACAAAGTTTCAGGCCAACATTTGCACAAAAGTCACGTAAACGCAAGCGTAAGAATGCTCTTACTGTGGTCGTTGGAAACGAGTTCTAGAAAAATAATTTTTGAGCACCACAATCTTGGGTAGATAACTTTAAAAATTAGGTGAGGGACACCCCATAACCCCCTGTCCACTAGCAACTAGTAGAGGGCCAGATGCCTGGTATGAGTTACATAGACCTCTGTTCAATTTCTATCTGTTCAATAATGAAACTTAATGAGGGGGTTATGGGGTGTCCCGCCATAGCCTAAACTAACCTACAATATATAACAGGAATAACCCACCAGTAACGCTGATGCTGCTGGGGTCGAACGCGAAGGCCCCTCCGCCGCCGGAGTCCTGTATGGCCTCGGACAGCGCGGTAGACAAGCTGCCGGCCGTCTCGTTACTGCTTGGAGCCAGGTTCACGTTATAGTCGGTGATGATACTCCCGTTACTGAAGCCGGTTACCTCCGTACCTTTGAAAGCATCGCCGAGTTTGGAGGTGTACAAGTCGTCAAGCTGTGAAGAGACAACAGAAGATTTAATCATTATTTGCATGAACATGAACCTTTACTCTAGTAGACGTTCCTGCTGCAAAAAAAAGGCTACGACTTTATTGGTCCATTCTAGTCTGTCCTACAGCACACTTACATGTTCAGGCATCAACATGTTAAGAAACTGTCAGTAAAACCATTGCAGTAATAGATGAAGTGAACTAGGCAATAATTTGTATCTTAGCCTAAAACCTATATAGATCAAAATATGGTAAGATTTTTATTACTATCATCATAACCGTAGTCATGTAAACTAATGCAGAATAGAGAGGTAAAAGTCCTACCGTAGTTTTAACAGAAGCGGCCAGAGTTTTGAAGGCAGCAGATGTCGTGTCGGCCAGGTCCGCCGTGAAGCTCTGACTGGTGATCCGGATCGACCCCGAGAAAGACTTCGTGGCTGGGAAAAAATGAAATAAAACGTTTTCTTGAAAATCCTGTTTGAATTACCAAGTGGCCATCCATCTCAAGATTACTATTTGTACGAGTGAAGAAATATGTGTCAAGTAGCACAGCATTGCAGCCTTATTTTAGCTAGAACCGTACGCTTATCTATACTAGTTATGCCTGGATATTTCATGGTATGTTCTACAATAAAGGTATATCATTCTCTTCATCTAGGGAAATGCATTTTGTTAAAATTCGGTGGAAAACTGAAAGTAGTAAGCCTTGATTACCGAAACACCTAACTTTTCCGGAAAGAACATGTGGTAGATAACTTGCACAGATTATGTACGACTGTTCATCTAGCGCTGCTGAGTTTGTTAGTAACAAGGTTTCCTCACCGACACAGGTGCCACCTTTCTTCTGCTATGTGTGAGCTTACATGCAACTATTACTGAACAAATGTCCATCTAACGGTATTTCATTCATTATGTAACAAACTGAATGTAGTAAGCGTTCCTCACCGATACAGCTGGTATCTCCGTTTTCATCTTTTTCCAGGTAGAACCCCGCCACACAGCCGCACGTGTGGGAACCCTCCGTGTTGGTACAGGCGATGTTCGTCCCGTTACACACAGTGTTACACTCATTGATGTCTGAAACGGCACAATATACACATCAGCATATGTTGTACATACTAACCTTATAATATGTTTCTCAGGGGACAGCTCCAAATTGTTATATAGGAAAACACGATAGAGGATGCCTAATAAATCTTATATATAATCGAACGTAGAAACTGTGTGGGGTCGTGTGGCGTAGCGGCAGAGTGCTCTACTCGGAATCAAGAGGTCCCGGGTTCGAGTCCTAACATACCACCGATCTTGTGCCCTTGGGAAAGGCACTTTACACGACTTTCCTCACTTCGCCCAGGTGAAAATGAGTATTGTGTTGTCCCCTGTGTTGGTGGCGGCATTAATATAAGTTGAAAAATCTTGAGTGTGCCGTCACCACGTCTTGTGATTAGATGTTGGGATATAAAAAATACTGTGTAATTGTTGTTGGATCACTAAATGTTACAACTATCATCAGTCGATGCCATAGGGACTAAGTACAATGTAGGCCTTGGCTCGCCATATAAACCTCAGGATGGGGCATGGGGCACTGAATGCTGAGTAAACTAGCCTTAACAAGACTCCGTGGAACTCCTATATCTGGCTAACTCTTCAGACATATTATTCTGATACTTGGAAAATTTCAACACATTGGCGTCTGGTAGAGACTGCAGTAAAATCATTACCCTGGCATGTTGTAGCGTTGCTGCCAAGTTCATATCCGGTCGCGCACATGCAGGTCTCTGTACCGGAAATGACGGCACAGGTGCTGACGTCAGCAGGGGAACAGGTGGTGCTTAGGCAAGCATCAGCGGCTGGGGGATGTAAAATACAAACGTCAAGTTTTTCCTATGTTTTCATGTATGATTATTGTATTCGGAACTTCTTTCTTTGTGAATTGATATTTGGTTTTACAACTGCGTTTGCTCAGCTCTTTAGAACAGAAAGGTAGAATGAGTTTTCTTGCATTTAGTCTCATTTGCTCTCGTATGATCCTGTCTCTCCGTTTTCCTAGCTTCTTCACTCACTCATTCACTCACTTTCATGCTTTCTTTCATTCATTCACTCACTCACTCACACACTCGCTCCTTCACTCACTCACTCACTCACACCCCCACACCCCCTCACTCTCATTCACTCTCACACACTCACTCACTCACTCACTCACTCACTAACTCACTCACTCACTCACTCACTCACTCACTCACTCACTCACTCACTCAACCCAAGCAGTTGGTGCCACTATTTGTCAAGCTTGAGTTCTTTGCCTAAACGGATGTGAGAGCCGTTAGTCTTGGTACTTCATTCATTTCATGATATTTGGTGATTCATTCATTTTTCTACTCACCGACACAGTCGGTTCCACTGTTGTCCAGTTTGAGTCCCTCAGGACAGGAGCAGACATAGGAGCCATTCGTGTTGGTACACGTGTGTTCACAGCCGTCAGTGTTCAGCGCACATTCATCAATATCTAAGCAAGATTAAGAAACGACAAGAAAACGAGTTCAGTAAATTGTTCATATTCACTCTAGACTAACCTCTACGCATACCAGGCTTCAGAAGCGACTAGAAAGAGGAGAAATTGGCCAAATAGACAGATAACATGCCAGGGAATTTCGTCTGCTAAAGGTGTATAGTTGGCCCATGGACGTAGAAAAATCACAGTTCTACCTCCATCAATGTCTGGGCAAAGTTGATAAAACAGAGATGAACAAAATGTTCCTAGATTTTCTTGACTTGAGACGTTTCATTTTAATTTTTTATTTATTTATACAGGTTAGCATATCGCCATTTTGGCGCTTTTCAAAGCTCCCTGTGACATACATAAGATAATAAAAGGTAACTTAAGTACAATCAAAAGGTAGTTATGATAAAAGAAACAGACTAGTAAGGTACAGAAAACATACTAAATAAATATGACGTTAAAAGACTGAATGGTGCTATCATCACATATTCTAAAAATTATGCGTAAAATATTCTATTCTGAATATGTTTAACGAAGAAATACTTCAGATTACTTGTGATTACAATAGGAGAAAAAGAAAACACAAAATATAGATTTGAGCATGGCAGCAGGCGCTTTGTACTTACCATTGCAAGCCTTCCCATCGGCCCCCAGTGTGTAACCATGGTTACAGGAACATGAGAATGTCCCTGGGGTGTTTTCGCACACCTGTCCACAACCTCCGTTAGACGTGCTGCACTCGTCAATATCTGCAAACAGAAATAATACCGACTAGTTTTAAAAAGAAATTTGGACCTATTAATATATTAGCTCTTTCATGATAGACAACAACTTCATACAAAATTATTGATGAGACTAGGAAAAAAGCTGGATGACAAATCGTAAATAACTGTGCATCACTTCTATCACTTTTGGTTTCTTTGTTTCTGACACATATACATAGGCTCACAGCGTTTCTCTCTTCTAGCTAATAGCAAGCCTTACAGATACAGTTGTAGCTCCCGAAGTGGTTGGTGTAGGTGTAAGTGTTATGTTTCTTTGTGTTTATTTTACGCTTGTCCATAGCTTGTTTATGACATGTACCTTCACACAGTGATCCCCCGTTGGTCTCCAGTTGGTAACCAGCCTTACAGCTACAGTTGTAACTCCCTGGAGTGTTACTACAGGCACCGTTTACAGGGTCACAGGAGTGGGTCATGTTGGCGGCGCACTCGTCAATGTCTGTGGAAACAAAAGTCATAAACGTTGGTGGGTACCCAAGCTGGCCTGTGTTTATACAATCTCTCGCTAGATGGGGTTAATTAATGCCCTCCAGAGAGGGACTGCAACAGTCGAGGCCGCCGCTAGGAGCGTGATTTAGTCAGGCCATATACAGCTAGACAAGATTAACGTTGGTTTTTATATAAAACTATGGAATATCTGTCTTATTAGAGAACTCAGCTGAGCAGAATCTGGTTATGCAAAGATTGGCGTCAGGAAATGCAGTATTTGATATTTTAGCCAAAACTTTTAAAACAAATTCTTAATATACAATAGTTTTAAGAAATTCAATATAAAGAAGCATATACTAAGTGGTAGTATGATTAACTTCTTAGCATTAGAACATCGAAATGTAGAAACATAGTTCTATAGCAAATCAGAATGATTAACAAAGTAGTATGAATAACAAAGTAGTATGATTAACTTTCAGCATTAGAACATTAAAATGTAGAATATATAGCAATAACTTGCAGATATTCAAACAACCATTTTACCTGCACAAGTCTGTTGGTCCTGAGCCAGGGTGTACCCGCTGATGCAGTCGCATACTTCTGTCACGTTAATGACGGCACAGAGCTGGGTACAAGCCGTGTCGTTACTACAGGACTGGGCAGCTGAGGAACAAACAAACAAACAAATAAACAAACAAAACAAACAATTAAGAGTGCAGGCTGTGCCATCATCACATGATTGGGCAGCTATGGGTGGATATGAAAAACAATGGGATTGAGCTTTCTGAGAAATATTCAAAGGTTCATCAGATAGCTTTAACATTATATGCTGTAATTCCAAAGTTGAATTATTTGTTTTTATTACCATTGATCCATTATGCTACAAAATACCAACTAAAACCGTTTCGGGAAAAGTTCTATCAGGTTAACAAATCAAAATTCTTTGTACACAGTCAGAAATTTCGAGTACATTTGTTTCTCAAAAGCGATGAAACACAGCTACGAAATCTTTACTGCTGTAAGCTACAAGAATCTTGCATTAAAAAAAACTTCTAGAAATGAGGAACAAACCTTCGCAAGACTTCCCATCCGACGTCAGTACGTAGTAGTCCTTACAGGAGCACTCGAACCCGCCCACTGTGTTGGTGCAGAACTGGGTACAGCCGTGAGTGGGGCCGGAACACTCGTCTATATCTGTGGGGAGGAAGTCCATATTTAACCATGTGACACATAGCTCCATTGCACAATGGATGATTTTGGCGACGTCTCAGGGAGGAGCCTTATGGTACAGTATTGTGTGCAATTTGCACGAGTTCTAGGAATTGTACAGGAATTTTGTCCACAGGCATGGTATGTCCACAGGAATGTTTTACGTGAAGGGTAACATTAGGCATTTTCTTTACAGATGTGATCTTCTTAGAGAATGCATATATGGCTGTGGGCTATTTTGTGCATTCTTGCCAGTGTTTTTGGTCTGTTCATCATCAAAAGTTTACCTTCGCAGGAGTGCATGTCGTCCGCGAGTCTGAAGCCTGAGTCACAGGCGCACTGGTAGCTTCCCTCTAAGTTCAAACAGATCCGGTCACAGCCTCCGTTACTGGTCTGGCACTCGTCAATATCTGAGGAGGAAATGTTGCAAGTTATGTTGTGCATGTTGCCACATAATGTATTACATTGTGTCGACTTATTACTACTGGTCTGACACGCGTGAGGGGAAAGTTGCAAGTTATGTTGTGCTTATTGCTACATTATGCATCACGTTGTGTCGACTTACTGCAACAGATACATGGAGGAATAAGCTGGTGTTATGCTATGCGTTTGAATCCTAGCGTGGTATTTTGGTGTTGTCTAAAATGTTTTCTAGTGTCGCGAACACAAGTTAATGTCTTTGGTTTACCGAGGCAAAAGGACCCATTCCCACGAATTCTAACCGAATTGATTTACTCCAAGCCGGATCGAAGCCGGATCAAAGCGAATCGATTCGGCTAGATCCGGACAATTTTACCCTATAGTGGGAAAAGGGCCAAAGACGAATGTTACTTATGGTAGCATTATTTGTACACGTGTTAAGTACGTAGGTCTACTGTAGATGTAAAACGACTTGTGTTACCATACAGGTGTCCTTACCTGTGCAGGTGTTCCCATCACCTGCGTACCCAGTGTTACAGGTGCAGTTGAAGGAACCCTCGATGTTGGTACAGGTGGCCTGAGCATCGCAGTTGTGTGTGCCTGCACTGCACTCGTCAATATCTGCAGCAATATAAAAGACATAATGATTGTATCTTACTTCAAATCTCTGGTATACGTACGTCATTCACACATATTAATCTATAAATGAAAGGAAGCCAAACACTAGCATATAATAGACAATTAGACGTTGCAGAATCAACATTTAGGCTAGACAAATTATACTCGCTACTAATTGCTGTTCCGTTTATAGCCACCAAATTGATTGTTTTTTTGTAATTTACTGATCTCTGTTCAATGACTATGCCTAGGTAGTTGACAAGGTCTGAGAGAAAAAGAGATATTCAGAGTTACGACCTTTTGGCCTTGCGGTTAGTGCGTTGCGATCGTATGGTGTCGGTCCAGGTTCGATTCTCAGGAGCCAGGAGACTGTACTACTCGCCCTTATAGTTGTTTAAAAATGTATGTAAATAAAGCTAACCTACCAAGACATGTCCTGTTGTCTGCTAGCATGGTGTAGCCTGCCAAACACTCGCAGCTGTAGCCAGGTGCCTCGTTGTTACACGTGGCGTTCTGACACTGGTGCGCGTCTGTCTCGTTCGGTAAGAGGAGGCACTCGTTCAGATCCGCACAGGACTGTCCGTCCCCGACCATACCGGCAGGACAGGCCCCGCACGTGTAGCCGGCGGAGTCGGCGTCGAGAGGGGCGGGGGCGTCCGTACAACTCACACCTAGAAATAAAACATAGTATTTTATTGATCAGTTGGGGTAGACACTCGTTCAGATCGGCACAGGACTGCCCGTCCCCGACCATACCGGCAGGACAGGCACCGCACGTGTAGCCGGCAGAATCCGCGTTGAGAGGAGCGGGGGCGTCTGTACAACTCACACCTGGGGAAAACATTTATTTATTTTTTTCACATATATTTACTGAATATTAGGCAAGAAGCATAGTTGCTTATATGACGCTTCCTACTCAAATGATAAAACGAGAGTAAAACACAATGACAAAATACATACATAATTACAAAGTGGGTAAAAGAAAAATGAGACAAGATGGTAATCTATCAATTACGCGAATCATTCGTTCACTGGTAACCAGAGTCAGAGTATGACCATACGTATGATCCGCTTATCAAGGCCCGAGTCAGATGAACATAATTTGTATGATGATAATTTCATTCATTCATTTACTCAATCCATCAATCCATATATCCATCATATCAATAAATCCATCAATCTATCCATCAATCCATCCAGCCATTCATTCATTCATTCCCTCACTCCTACGTACCAGGATAACAGGGTGTGACGGAGCAGCCGTTGGTGTCTGTCTCACATTCGTCTCCGTCGAACCCGAGCAGACAGTCGCAAGAAGCCAGGGCGAACCCGTTACTCCGCTCAGCCAGGGTCGCCTCCCAGTTACACGTACCTGAAGAAACGGGTTGCATTAAACAACAACTCAGAAACATAAGCAAAAAAAATCATACGTAGACACCATAAAATATATTTTCAGTAAGCTGTTGCTAAATAGTTTAAGTTTATTGGGCCCTTTATACCCTTATTTTTTAAGGGGCTAACCTTCCAATTACAGGTACAGAAACATTTACATAATTATATCTTAAAGGAGATTCGATGAATATATTACTGACTTAAGTCCTGGCTTCTTTCCTGTCACATTCAAGATATTAGTATAGAATTGTATAATTCTATTCATGTAGCAACACATGTACAGATGAGCTTTCATTCGAATATAATTGAGTTTGACAGGTAGATACTGATACTTTTGAAATACCTGCGTAGGAGTACGTTATAATTGCTATTAGTTGATGTCAATGTGTAATTAAGATCTGAACAAACAAACAAACAAACGCACCGTTGTTCTGGCAGGAGCAGACTGTGACGTCAGGAGAAGCGAGGGTGGCGGCGCCGACGTCATCAGTAGCTAGGAACTCGATAGTAACGTTTGCGGTGTCGGTAGGAGTCCAACTGATTAGTAGGGGGATTACAGTAAGTTAACTACATATCCTGTACTTTTTGATTTTTTTTTGCTTACTGCATTTATTATGGTATCTGTGGCTTTCTTGTAAGGTTAATAGTCCCGGGTTTGAAACCCATTATGGAACCAACATAGTTTTCCTTCTTGAAGATCAAGTCCTATATAGTTAGTGTTCATCATTATGGTAACGTTAGTGTATTAGTATAGTTTGTGGCGTTGATACTTTAGCTCAAGTCCTGAAGTGAGTGTTAGTGCTAAAAGGTAGAACATGCATAACAAGTGGTAACGTCCACTGAGTGCCATATTGTAGTGACTGTAAGTGGCAGTGTTAATTGTGTCAGTGTTAAATATTATTGTAACTTTAGTGTGTCTTGCACTCACGTGTAGTAGTTTGTGGCGTTGATGCTGCCCGGCGTCCCGGCCTGTAGTGAGATGGTGACGGTCCCGTCGTCTGTAGCCTCCAGCTGCAGACCGAACTCCTGCCCGACCGTCGCGCGAACCTCGGACGTCACGTTAAACACAGGTGGCGTGTTATCTGGGAGAAAATGTGGTCTACCTTAGAATCTACAGTTCAACAGTCTCCAGTTTAATTTAGTTTAATTCTGGACTTGCAGTTTAATTTCTGACTAGTTCTCACATTTAAGGAACCTTACATCTAGATGGGCTGATATCGTAAAACACGGGCGGCGTGTTATCTGTGAGAAAAGAATGACGCACATGAACAATCTAGAAACTATACTTTATGGGTGCATTGAGGTGGTTTTTTTCACTGACTGAACTGGACGACAGGGACGGAAACTGAAGTGGTAAGCCCGCGTGTCCCT